TTTTTTTGTAAAGTGTCTATTCATATCCTTCACCCACTTTTGAATGGGTTTGCTTTTTTTTTTTTTTTTCTTGTACATCTGTTTAAGTTCTTTGTAGATTCTGGATATTAGCCCTTTGTCAGATGCATAGATTGCAAAAATTTTTTCCCATTCTGTTGGTTGCTGGTTCACTCTAATGATTGTTTCCTTTGCTGTACAGAAGCTCTGGAATTTAATTCGATCAGATTTATCTATTTTGATTTTTGTTGCCATTGCTTTTGGTGTTTTAGCCATGAAGTCCTTACCTATGCCTATGTCCTCAATGGTTTTGCTTAGGTTTTTGTTTAGGGTTTTTATGGTGTTAGGTCTTTTGTTTAAATCTTTAATCCATCTGGAGTTAATTTTAGTGTAAGGTGTCAGGAAGGGGTCCAGTTTCTGATTTCTGCCTATGGCTTGCCAGTTTTCCCAGCATCATTTATTAAACATGGAGTCCTTTCCCCATTGATTGTTTTTCTCAGGTTTTTAAAAGATCAGATGATTGTAGATGTGTGGTGTTGTTTCTGAGGCCTCTGTTCTGTTCCCTTGGTCTATGTCTCTGTTTTGGTACCAGTACCATGCTGTTTTGATTACTGTGGCCTTGTAGTATAGTTTGAAGTCAGGCAGCATGATGCTTCTGGCTTTGTTCTTTTTGCTTAGGATTGTTTTGGCTATGCAGGCTCTTTTGCTTCCAAATGAAGTTTGAAGTGTTTTTTTCCAGGTCTGTGAAGAAGGTCATTGGTAGCTCAATGGGGATAGCATTGAATCTATAAATTACTTTGGGCAGTATGGTCATTTTCATGATGTTGATTCTTCCCAACCATGAGCATAGGATGTTTTTCCATCCGTTTGTGTCCTCTCTTATTTGACTCAGCAGTGGTGTGTAGTTCTTGAAGAGATCCTTTACATCCTCTGTTAGTTGTATTTCTAGGTATTTTATTCTCTTTGTAGCAATTGTGAATGGGAGTTCACTTTCGATTTGGCTCTCTGTCTGTTATTGGTATATAGAAATGCTTGTGATTTCTGCACATTAATTTTGTATCCTGAGCCTTTGCTGAAGTTCCTTATCAGTTTCTGGAGATTTTGGGCTGAGATGATGTGTTCTTCTAAATATATAATCATGTCATTTGTAAATAGAGACAATTTGACTTCCTCTCTTCTTATTCGAATACCTTTATTTCTTTCTCTTGCCTGATTGCCCTGTCTAGAACTTCCAATACTATATTGAATAGGAGTGGTGAGAGAGGGCATCCTTGTCTTGTGACAGATTTCAAAGGGAATGCTTACAGTTTTTGCCTGGTCAGTATGATATTGGCTGTGGGTTTGTTGTAAATAGCTTTTATTATTTTGTGATACATACCATTGATGCCTAGTTTATTGAGGGTTTTTAGCAAAAAGTGCTGTTGAATTTTGTTCAAGGCCTTTTCTGCATCTATTGAGATAATCATGTAGTTTTTGTCTTTGGTTCTGTTATGTGAAGGATTACATTTATAGACTTGCATATGTTGAACCAGGCTTGCATCCCCAGGATGAAGACTACTTGATCATGATGAATAGGCTTTTTGATTTGCTGTTCATTCTGTTTGCAAGTATTTTATTGAAGATATTTTCATCAATGTTCATCATGTATATTGGCCTGAAGTTTTCTTTTTTAGTTGTGTCTCTGCCCAGTTTTGGTGTTAGGATGATGTTGGTCTCATCAACTGAGTTGGGGAGGACTCCTTCTTTTTGTATTGTTTGGAATAGTTTCAGAAGAAATGGTACCAGCACCTCTTTATAAGTCTGGTAGAATTTAGCTGTAAACCCTTCCAGACCTCAGCTTTTTAAATTTGTAGGCTATTAATTACTGCCTCAACTTCAGCCCTTGTTATTTGTCTATTCAGGGATTCAACTTCTTCCTGGTTTAGTCTTGGGAGAGTGCAAGTGTCTGGGAATATATCTACTTATTCCAAATTTACTGGTTTATATGAATAGAGTTGTTTGTAGTAATCTCTGATGGTAGTTTGTATTTCTGTGGAATTGGTGATGTCCCTTAATCATTTGTTATTGCATCTATTTGATTCTTCTGTCTTTTCTTTTTTATTAGTCTGGCTAGTAGTCTATCTATTTTGTTGATCTTTTCAAAAACCCAGCTCCTGGATTTGTTGATTTTTTTGAAGCATTTTTTTTTTTTGTGTATCTTTTTCTGCCAGTTCTGCTCTGATCTTATTTATTTCTGTCTTCTGGTAGCTTTTGAGTTTTTTTTTTTTTTTTTCGATTTTTCTCCTCTAACTCTTTCAATTTTGGTGATAGGGTGTTGATCTTAGACCTTTCCTCACTCCTCATGTGGGCATTTATTGCTATGAAATTTCCTCTAGACACTGCTTTGAATGTGTCCCAGAGATTCTGGTATGTTGTATCTTCATTCTCATTGTTTTCAAAGAACATCTTTATTTCTGCCTTCATTTCATTGTTTATCCAGTCTACATTCAGGAGCCAGTTGTTCATGTTCCATGAAGTTGTGTGGTTTTGAGTTAGTTTCTTAATCCTGAGTTCTAGTTTGATTGCACTGTTGTCTGAAAGGCTATTTGTTATGATTTCTGTTCTTTTGCATTTGCTGAGTGACTTACTTCCAATTATATGGTTGATCTTAGAGTAAGTGCGATGTGGTGCTGAGAAGAATGTATCTTTTGTGGATTTGGGGTTAAAAGTTCTGTAAATGTCTACTAAGTTTGCTTGGTCCAGATCTGCATTCAAGTCCTGGATTTCCTTGTTTATTTTCTGTCTCATTGATTTGTCTAATATTGATAGTGGAGTGTTAACGTCTCCCACTATTATTGTGTGGGAATCTAAGTCTCTTTGTAGGTCATTAAGGACTTGCATTATGTATCTAGGTTCTCCTGTATTGGGTTTGTATATATTTGAGATTGTTAGATCTTCTTGTTGTATTGATCCTTTTACCATTATGTAATGCCCTTCTTTGTCTCTTTTCATTTTTTTAGATTTTAAGTCCATTTTATCAGAGACTAGGATTACCACCCCTTCTTTTTTTGCCTTCTTTGCTTGGCAAATTTTCTTCTATCCCTTTATGTTGAGTCTATGTGTGTCTTTACACATGAGATGGGTTTCCTGAATACAGCAAACCTCTGTTTCCTGAATACAGAGGTTCTTGGCTTTTTATCCAGTTTGCCAGTCTGTGTCTTTTGATTGGGGCATTTAGTCCATTTACATTTAATGTTAATATTGTTATGTGCAAATTTGATCCTGCCATTTTATTACTGGTTGGTTATTTTGCCCTTTGGTTGGTGTAATTTCTTCATTGCATCGTTGGTCTTTACCATTTGGTTCTTTTTGCAGTGGCTCATACTGGGTTTTCCTTTCTGTGTTTAGTGCTTCCTTCAGGAGCTCTTGCAGGGCCAGTCTGGTAGTGACAAAATCCCTCAGCAATTGCTTGTCCATAAAGGATTTCATTTCTCCTTCACTTATGAAGCTTAGTTTGGCTGGATATGAAATTCTAGGTTGAAAGTTCTTTTATTTAAGGATATTGAATATTGGCTCCCACTTTCTTCTGGCTTGTAGGGTTTCTGCCAAGAGATCCACTGTGAGTCTGATGTGCTTCCCTTTGTGGGTGACCCGACCTTTCTCTCTGGCTGCCCTTAGTATTTTTTTCCTTTATTTCAACCCTGGTGAACCTGATGATTATGTGCTTTGGGGTTGCTCCTCTAGAGGAGTATCCTTGTGGTGTTCTCTGTATTTCCTATATTTGAATGTTTGCCTGCCTTGCTAGTTTGGCAAAGTTCTCCTGGGTAATATCCTGAAGGGTGTTTTCCAGCTTGGATGCATTCTTCCAAGTATGCATCAGGCATAGGTCCTTTCACATAATCCCATATTTCTTGAAGGCTTTGTTCATTTCCTTTCACTCTTTGTTCTTTTTTCTTGCCTTCTCGTTTTATTTCATTGATTTGATCTTCAATTTCTGATATCCTTTCTTCTGCTTGATCTATTCAGCTATTGAAACTTGTGTATGCTTCATGAAGTTCTTGGGCTGTGTTTTTCAGCTCCATCAAGTCGTTTATGTTCTTCTCTAAGCTTGTTATTCTAGTTAGTATTTCATCTAACCTTTTTTTAAGGTTTTTGATTTCTTTGCATTGGGATAGAACATGTTTCTTTAACTCAGAGAAATTTGTTATTACCCACCTTCTGAAGCCTGCTTCTGTCAGTTTGTCAAATTCATTCTCCTTCCTGCTTTGTTCCCTTGCTGGTGAGGTGTCGTGAATTCATGGTGGGGGAGAGACATTCTGGTTTTTGATGGTTTCATTCTTCTTGCGCTGGTTTCTCCCCATCTCTTGGATTTATATAGTTTTTGATCTCAGGTAGCTGCTTGGGGAGGCAGCCTTTCCTTTGTCTGCCTGTGGAGGCGCTGCTTGGCTGCCACAGATTTCAGTGGAGCTGCTGAGTCTTTAATTTACTCAGGAAAATTAGGCTGGTTTCTGTAATGGCTGCTTCCCTTCCACCCATCGAGCTGCAGCATTCCTGGTCGCTAACTGACGTTCTGGGTGTTTAACTCTGGAGTGAGAGGTTTTTGGCCTGCTGGGCTTTGTGCCTGGCAGGGGGACCTGTCCTGCCTTTTCGGTTGCTTTCCTACATTCCGTTCCCCTTCTTACTGGGGGGCAGGTACCTCTGTACTACCGGCGTTTTGGCTTTCTCAGCGTCAGCCAGTGCTTCTGTCTAGATCTATGCCGACAGCCCCAGAGCTGAAGTTGCTATTTTGTTCTGTTCAGCATCTCCCTAAGCATTTTCAGCCTGGTGAAGATCTCCTGTTCTGTGGGTTGTAGAGGGCTTGGGTAGAGCGCTGCATCCGCACTGAAGTCCCAGAGGGGGAGATCCCCCAGTCCTCCAGTCAGTTGCATGTTATTCCTGGGAGGGGTAGTGTCCCACCCTGCCACAACTTGCCCTATTTGGTTTATACCCTCTGTCTGACCAGACCCACAAAATGAAACTTGTACCTCGTTTGGAATTCTGGAGACCACTTGGCTTCTGAGTCTCTCTCGCTGGGAGCTGCTTTCCGGAGCTGCCTCTTATTTGGCCATCTTAGAATCTTCCTCTAAATCTATTTATGTTTAACAAACAACTACAAAGTTTAATGGCAAGATACAAAAATATAAGATAATGTCTGATGATTTTTTGATTTGACAAAATTGGTGGTCCGGCTGGGTTGGTTCTTCTGGGCTTCTTTCATCTGTTTGTAGACCAAAGTTTTATGAGGTCGAAGTAAACAGAATGTTTGATCAGGCTAGATTCTCAAAATGGTTTGTTCTTTTATATGTCTGGTGACTGTGCTGGGATGTCAGAAACCACTGGAAGTTGGCCATTCATCTCTTTGCGAAGCTTCCCCACAGGGCTAACTTGAACTTACATCATGGTCTTAGAGTGAGAGGATTTCTCACATCTTGGCCAGCTTCTCTGAGAGCAAGTAGTCTAAGAGATCACAGCAGAATCTTCAAGCCTCTTTCTAACTTAACTTTAATCATAAATTGTTATTTTCATTACATTTTATCTTGGCCAGCTCAGATTTAAATGCATACTGACTCCTGCACAAGTATGTGGATATACACACTACTTTCAGATATTAATTGGGAGTTAATCTTTGAAGACTAGCGCTCACAGTAGATCTTCTTGTCCTCTGTGATTTACTTCACTCCTACATGTAAAATATACTTATCATGCTTTTATGACCCCCCAAAGCCTCATCCTATTTTTTCATCAAGATTAGGATGTAAAATCAAGATGTCATTACCCAAATAAGATACAGGTATGAAAGAGATTTCTTGGGTAAAATTCCTTGAGTACAAATTATCCCAATCTAAGACTGAGAAGTTAAGAAACATGTTGTCTAAAACCCACAGACCCAATATACAATGGTGATACATAGGTAGAATAGTCACAATAAACACTGATGTTCAAAAGTGAATGGGGGTAAGAGGCCCATAGCATCTACTGGCTCACAGAAAATCTAAAATCCAATAAGATGCATGCCAGTAGTCCATTGATTAGGGCCTAGTTCTGCATCCTGAAATTGATTTGCTAGGTTTCTCATCTCTAAGCTCCTGGTTTTTGTTTCAAACTTCTGATTCATCTGTCATTTTGTTTAAGAGGTTGTAGTCTCTTTCTTCTCATAGAATGTTGGTGGTTCAAAGGCACCTTTCCATTTTGTTCTGTCTGTGACCTTTTTAGCTGAGCCACTGGTACTTCCACTTATGTAATTCTCCTAAAACTTCATGTGTCTCCTCTGAAATCTATTCAGGTTTTCTTCCTTAGATAAGTCACACCCATGAATTTCCTCAATACAGGGCTGTCTCTATTTGAATGCTGTTAGGAGGTTACTTTCTGACAACATCTTTCAGATTCTTGGAAGCTCTATTACTTAGTAGAATTTCGAGCACACTTTTAAGATTGCTGGAAGAAAAAAAGATACCACTTAAAGTGGGAAAAGAATCACCAAAAATTCTTTCCTCCATATGAGGAAACAATGAGAAAGCTGGCAACAACATAATAAATAACTCTTTGAAACTTGTAGAAATTAAGTCTTACAACAGCCAAGAGTAACATTTATCCAAGAAAGCTGGCTGAAGACCAATGAGAACAGCAAGTTTTGTGATGTTTTTAACTTGCATCCCCATTTCTTCAGTTCTGAGCATAAGAGTGAATATTCCTGTTAAAATTCAGCAGCCACTAAAAAATGTAGTTGGAGCTCTTTAAAACCTCATTCTTAAATAATTGCTTTAAAAAACCTGTATGGTGATTTTCTGGAAAAGCAACTTGCAAGGCTTTATGTATTAATGTGATTTGGATCTCACACATTACAAAACAATCCTCATTCCTAATGGGCATTTGTTGAAAATACATACAGGCAATTGGGTAACTTCGTGACTGCCTGAAGCAATGGATAGAAACTGAGCAAAAAACAGACTAACCAAAACGTTTAAAAAGAAAATTATGAAAATGAGATGTCTTTAGGGACTTTGAAAAGCTCCAACATATTTACACATGCCCAGGACAGTACAGATGATCAGTAAAAGTTTGAAAAGATCCTTTGCTCTAACCTCTGGATGATGTGGCTCTGGACAAACAGAAAGTAAAGAATAAGTCAGAGTTGGAAACTGCCAGGCTGAGTGCTGAAGGCATGCTCCTGCATGCGCTCAGAGCCCACTCAGCAAAGGCTGGAATAATGTGGTTCTGAGAATTTAAGGAAATCTTTAGCCAATCGTCAGTTGACTATCAGAGACTTCAGAGGCCACACCAATAAAACGTATAGACATCACCAATTGAGAAAAGCCACTAAATAAACAAACAATTTCAGTAGCAGCAACAAAACTTGGGGAATAAAAGAATTTGATTTCCCACTTACCCGTGGAGAATAAACATTTTTATAGTTGCTGGATTCACATTGCTAGAATCGTTTTGCTTTTTAATACCAGGTCTTACTATGTTATTCAGGCTAGTCTTAAATGCCTGGCCTCATGTGAGTCTCCTGCCTCAGCCTCCCAAGTAGCTAAGATTATAGGTGAGAGCCACCATGCTGGACAATATTTGTAGCATTTTGTTAATAATATTTGCATCTATTTTCATAAGGAATATTGGTCTGTAATATTTTTTGTGATATTTTGTCCAGTATTACTACAAGGGTAATACTGGCTTCATAGAATGAGTTGAAAAGAGTTTATATATCTTATACTTTTGGGAAGAATTTTTGATAGAGTCTCCTCCTAGGTATATATCCAGGAGATATGTAAAACATAGACATATGCAAACATTTGTACTGTAATGTCCATATTCATAATAGCCTAAAGGTAGAAAGAACCCAAAAGCCCATAAAGTGATGAATGGGCTATAATACATTTTCTCTTGTATCCATGCAATGTAATGTTAAACATCCATAAAAACAAATGAAGCACTGATATTACAAAAGCTAAAATGTGAATGAACTTTAGAAATATTAGGTAAGGGAAAGAGGACAGACATAAAAGGCCACATATTTTATGGTTTCATTTATATTTAACGTCCAGATTAGGAAAATCTATACAGAAAGAAAGTAGATTGGTTGTTTCCAGGGAATATCGTAGAGAAATGTGGAGTTACTGCTAGTAGGTATGAGGTTTCTATTTCTGGTGATGAATGTGTTGTGAGATTAGATAATGATGTTTATATAACCTTGTGAACATACCAATATTACTAAACTGTACACTTTGAAATATTAAATTTTATAGTATGTTAATTATATTTCCAAAAAAATCTTAAGAACTTCTGTCTAGCTGAAGTGTTCTATGAGGCTCCATACATCTTTTTGACGTACAGTTTGGGTATCTCTTATTCAAAATCTTGGTACTAGAAGTGGTTTAGATTTCAGAATTTTCCAGATTTTGGAATATCTGCATATACGCCATGAACTATCTTGGAGATAGGACCCGTGTCTGAAAATAAAATTTATGATTTATGTAGCTATCATACATAGGCTAAATGTAATTTTATTTTTCTGGGGACACTGAACAAATTGTGTGTGTGTGACTGCATTTTAACTGCTGTGATCTGTCACGTGGGGCCAGGTGTGGAATTTTTCACTTGTGGCATTAAGTCAGCACTTAAGCAAGTCTCAGACTTTGGAAAATGTCCAATTTTAAAGTTTTGGATTAGCAATGCTCAACCTATGGTTACAAAGGTGGGCCTTATAGCTCCATCTGGGATTTGATATTTGCCCTAAAGGCATTTCTATTTTTGATATCTTTTTATTCTTAATACATAAAAAAGTATATATATAAATATTTTTTTAACTTTTATTTTTGGTTCAGAGGTACATATGCAGGTTTGTTATATAGGTAACTCATGATGGGGGTTTGGTGTACAGATTCTTTTATCACGCAGATATTAAGTATAGTACCTAACAGTTTTCTTTCTTTCTTTCTTTCTTTCTTTCTTTCTTTCTTTCTTTCTTTCTTTCTTTCTTTCTTTCTTTCTCTTTTTCTTTCTTTTCACTCCCTTCCTTCCTTCCTTCCTTCCTTCCTTCCTTCCTTCCTTCCTTCCTTCCTTCCTTCCTTCCTTCCTTTCTTTTTCTTTCTTCTTCTTTCTTTCTTTCTCTGTCTCTATCTCTTTCTTTCTTTTTGCTAAATATCTCCCTCCCTCCGCCTTCTTCTTTCAAAGAGGAGCCTGTCTGTTGTTTCCCTCTTTCTGACCATGTGTTCTCATTTTTAGCTCCCATGTACAAGTGACAACACACAGTGTTTGATTTTCTGTTACCATGTTAGTTTGCTAAGGATAATGGCCTCCAGCTTCATCTATGTTCCCACAAAAAAACATGATCTCATTCTTTTTTATGGCCACATAGTATTCCTTGGTGTGTATGTACCACATTTTTTTTATTCAGTCCACTGTTGATAGGCATTTAGGTTCACTCCATGACTTTGCATGGAACAGTGCTGCAATGAACATTGTGAATGGTGCTGTAATGAACATATATGTAGATGTGTCTTTATGGTAGAACAATTTATATTTCTTTGGGTGTATACCCAGTAGTAGGATTGCTAGGTTGAATGGTAGTTTTATTTATAGTTCTTTGAGGAATCACTACCTGCTTTCCACAAGGGTTGCACATGTGAGCGTATAAATTAGTGCAACCTTTGTGGAAAGCAGTGTGATGATTCCTCAAATAACTATAAACAGAACTGGTGTAAGATAGTATCTGACTGTTGTGAGATGGTATCTGACCATGATTTTGATTTGACTGGTATGAGGTGGTATCTCATTGTGGTTTTTATCTGCATTTCTCTAATGATTCATGATATTGGGCATTTTATCATATGCTTCTTGGATGTACGTATGTCTCCTTTAGAAAAGTGTTTGTTCATTTTCTTGACCCACTTTATAATGGGGTTGTTTGCTTTTTGCTCGTATATTTGTTTGAGTTCCTTCCTGTAGAGTCTGGATATTAGAGCATTATCTAATGTACAGTTTGCAAATACTTTTTCCCATTCTATAGGTTGTCTGTTTACTCTTTTGATAGTTTCTTTTGTTATGCAGAATCTCTTTAGTTTAATTCAGTCCCATTTGTTTATTTTTACTTTTGTTGAAATTGCTTTTGGCATTTTCATCATGAAATCTTAGCCAATTAGTAAGTCCAAAATGATATTTCCTAGGTTATCTTCCAGAGATTCTTTAGTTTTTGGTTT